CCCCCCCCCCCCCCGCTCATAGAGACTGCGTATTACAGTTGATTATAGTTCCTGGGCTCCCTGTGGTTATATATTTAACTTGTTATTATTGAGTTCAAAGTATTTTCAAGTGTATTTCAATGTTTTTAAAACAGAATTTTCATCCTCTATAAGGGGAAAGGAATGTGATGATTTGAGGCTAAGACGTTTAGTTTTAGTTATTTGCATAATGATATTGATACATTTTATGGAACATCTCGTGAGTATTTAGACTCAGTGTCAGGCCTAGCAGTTGAGCAATAAACACCTTGGTTACAAGTGCTCCTCTCCAGTGCGTTATTCTCCCCCGGATTTGGTGACCAATACTCACTTGGTTCACTCTACCTTGAGAAGTCTGTTCTCAGTTTACAGCTTATATCATGATAAGTGATAAGTTAAATTTCTGTGCTCTATCTAGATATTGAGAATGGAATGTTACACAATGACCACACCATGCATATGGTCTAATCAAATAAGACTGTCCTGACTGTCCATGACTAGTCGGGGTAAAACCTAATTATAGACATCCGATGTTTAGACATTTACTGCCACTTGTCACTTATGTAAAGCGCACGTACTTGACGAGAAAGCATTTAAAGATTATAGCTTACTGTACGGGAGAATATTAAATGCTTTATTTTTTAAATCGTATATTTGTACGGAGAATACATGTTTTATTTCAAAGCTAATATGTGTACCAGTTTGTCTTGTCATCGTTTTGTAAATGACATACAACGGGGACTATGCATTCAAAGTAACTAGTCGCTCATTTGTGTATAATTTTTTTCAGACTACTGAAACGATGACCGCCAAAAAAGACATATTAGAAATTAGAGAGTTAAGAAAGCCTGAAGAGAAAGAAGCCTTAAGATTATTAGAATTTTATGGATTAGCACTTGGTGTTGTCAAACCATTGTTTATTCACGTTACTACTCATCCGATTTCTATCTTGCTGATGATGTTTATTTCGGTCGCTTTCTTTAAACTGAGTGGCAGTTTTCTTATCAGCTTGCTCCTACCGATGCCAGTTCTTGCCTTTATATATACCTTGAAAAATCTACCGTTACTGTCCAGACGACATCGAAAACGTCACATTGACAGAACCAGAGGTTTTTACGCACATTATCGATGTCGAGAAGGATGTAATTTTTTCGTTGCCTTACACGATGGAAAGATCGTCGGGACCGTCGGGGTTGATCGGAAATCGCCGGGAGTAGGCGAAATCCGCCGAATGGTTGTTCATCCAAGACATCGGCGTATCGGTCTCGCCTGCAGACTCTTAGCGGTGGCCGAGGAATACTGTAGGAAAGTTGAAAGTTATAGATATATTGAGCTTTCTACATCTCACGTACAAAGACCAGCAATTGCATTTTACACGAAACAAGGGTATCAACTTGTAAATGTTACACCCCTGAGCGTTTTCGTCCCGGGCTATGTCAGTCACGACAACTGGAACTTTCGTAAAGTTATTTAGCTCATACTTCCACACCAACGTCGAGTCATTAACTTGAAAGTGTGTTGTGACAATATCTCATCGAACATAAAATATTAACAGTGTCATTATTTTTCCAGCACCCCATCTGATAGGTCAACTTGGAGCCATTTCTCAGATTTGCATCTTGTGTCCCGATTCATATGACCGAATGACGGACATTTTTCCATATAAAATTTCTAATAAATGAACGTGTCACAATTGTTTTCCAGACACGACGATTTCATTCACATATAATTATTGTTGTATACAACATTTTTGACCGGACGAGTTACGACCAATTATTAATCCAAGTGTGTGTCCGCTAATAATTATTGGTAATATGCATAGAAATTGGGTATCAGCATGATATATTCACAGATTGTAAAATTATAGACAATTTGATTTCATAATACATTGTGATTGATTGAGTTCATCTCATGTTTTGGCGGATATAGATTGGGTGGGCCGGAAATGCTTGTCGTAGAAGAAAAATGAGTATTAATATAAAAAAAACAATGAATATAAAACCATCAAATTAGCCAAGTGTTAAAACTGAAAACATCTGCCATAATCAATCAATATAATATATAGAAACTGGGAATTGGTCGTAATTCATTAGTAATTATGCAACAATATATCCAGATCATGTATTGGGCAATGACCCTTCATCAACAGTTTTTAAATACTTCCGATGATTATTTTTACAAACTGTAATATAACTTATAAAATATATAAAAATAACTAGCATCTGTATTACATCAGTATTGTTTCTGACAAGTTGTGTAATCGTGCAATATTGTGAGGCAGTAAGGAGATTTGTGAATAATGAACACCGTTATTGCGTATCCAGGGTTGTGCCTCTTGTATGAACATACGAATGTTCGAAGAGGGCGTCAGCTAAGCGCAGGATGTGCTATATGTAATGTGGATTGACCCCAACTGCGTGACTTAACGGTTAATATATTGATCTGCTGTCACATCAATTGAAGCGCCGTTTACTGAACACAATAACAACCGACGTGAATGCCCCAGGTAACGCTTGTGTTCACGCACAAAAAATCTGTTTGTCGTCAGATAAGCGGCGAACAAAGGTACCCTAAAGGTGACTCTCATTTTTGTCCGCACCACCAACTTTTCAGCTATCTGTCGATACTATTTTCCTGACAATTTTACAGACGTATATACGCGTTTTACAAGATATCACGAATATACAAGGCCAGTTTATACTATATTTATTACATTCGACATGTCGTGGATCACCAAACCAAGTAAGTATACACTCGGAGTTCTTCAGAAGACGCAATTAAATACGTGTTGTTTACGGGTGGTGTCATTTTACAATGTCTTGTTCACACCGTCATCACGTGTTACTATTACCATGGATTACCAATATACTACCTTGCTATCCCTCCTCAATTATACACCCTGGCCAAAATAAAGTGAAAGTTACCGGACTCGGAATTTACATTATATTTTAAGGAAAATATTTCTCAGATGCAATATCATCAGCACATATATTTTTAATATTAATATTTTGCATTGCAGTAAAACGGCCACCACCTGGACTGAGGGAATTCGAGGCGTACGACCATTTCCGTTTCGACTACAGGAGTATTAATGAAAACACTCTATCACTATTTCACCCTGTACGAGCCAGGTACATCAAAGACCGTTACGACGAATCCCTTACAGACGCAGAGACGATCATTTTTAGAGGTTAGTAATGTGTTATCGTACTTATATGTTGAGTGTTGCGTATCCAGGTGCGCCATATTGAACATTTGCATAATTTAATTTGGTGACGTATTTGGGACATTAATATATTGTACAGGCTATAGCCAGTTTAGCTGTCTGTGACAATCGTCGTTAGTTTTATTTCAAGTATAGACACCAAGGATGAAAAACGTTACTATAAATTAAAATCAATGTTTATTTGTTTTATTGTTGTGATCACGTGATGAACTTCAACGTTATATTTTTACAAGGTATGTCAAATGGTTAACTGAGAGTGCGCAAACGCTGTCTATTGTCAAACGTAGTATTATTGCCAGATCGATCTAGTACATTCTGAAAGGAGTTACTTATGAATTGTCACATTGCCTTTGTTTGACCATAAACTATATAGTTTGGAGGATGTGGTCGATGTCATTACACATTCACTGTATATTTACAACAGTGTCAGCGCTTTGTACACCAATATACACGATATACTATATATATAGGCTTTGCTTAGTGACCCCATCAACACACTAGGTATATATATTGGGAGGGGTTCATGTGAAGCATTGACGGCGTAGTCGCACTGAACTAACTGTTACACCTGTTTCCATAGGGTGTTTGGGATCTGCAGACACTCACAGCGCCGTGGCTCATGCCCTATGGATGTTCCGTGTGACAAGGGAGTTTGGCCCCGTGTTAGCCAAGGATTTTGCTGATGCTTATGAGTTGACCATCCGACCACGCGAAGAGTTCGCCGGTCGTCTAATGGATCTATCAACAACTGGGTGGGAAGGGTTTTGGCATCTGACGACACATTCTGGATCGCGATGGCGTCGAAGTGATAGAGAGGGCATTGAAACAAGGAATGTTACAGACGGCGCCGGATCCAAAGTACACAAAGGAAAACATACAGTCGGAATTAGATAGAATAAGAAGTAAAATTATTTGTTAAAATACATTAATTGTAAGTAATGGGTATTTATACGCCACAGTGCACATAGCTGCAAACCAATACAATCGTACATTAGTTTCACGTCACCATCGAGCTGTTTATGTTGTAAGAATCCTGGTATCGAAATCTCTCAATACTGATTATTATAATAACTGACTGTGTTGAGAACTGTATATAGATGTACATATATCAAGTAATACAGAGTACTGTGTTATACATAGGTTTATCTAACAATAACATATTGTTTTGTCTTGTATGTTTCAATGTCAACGTGACACTCCGCCGTTCTATTTAAACACTGTGATGACATACAAACGAATTCGAAGTCAATCCAAAGACATTAATGTAGTTATTGTGAATAAATGTTATATTATTAAAGACATCATCACTTTACACATTGCCGCGTATCCAGTGAATAGTCTGCCAGTTGCATCTTGGTCTTGCCTAGCACAATGTTTACCACAACATGTGATGCTTCTGAACTGGGCACAATTAACACCATAAATGAAACAATCTTATCCAGTCGTAATAGCAGTATATGCGTGTCATTAACCACTGTAGATGCACATCATTTGACTCCTGTTATTTCTATTCTATTATGAGATATATAACGTGTTTAAGAGCTATACGTCTACCTCCAATGATATGAGAATTATCACACTTTAATTGTTTATGTTAATAGTCTCAACAAATTAACATTTTAGAGAGTATATATCGTTATAGGAGTCGAACACAGGTGGTGGCATCCAGTTTAATATAGTAAGTAAGGTTCTGCGTAATTCGCTGTAAAATGGAAGGCGTTGAGTGGGTGTCTATAGCGAGGATTTCTAATTCATGAAGTACTGTCTAGATTATGTACATTTATTAGGTTAATTGTTAATAAATACATGTCATCTATCCCATGGGTTTTGACTGGTTGTCCTTTCAATTGAAATTTCCTCCCTCGTTATATATATACATTTTTCGCCTCGCCTACCCAAAAA